ATATATATATATATATATATATATATATATATATATATATATTCTGCTTCTTGAATGTCAACAAATCCCCCAGCACCTGAAATGCCACGTTACACATTGGCCCTTTAACTTGAAAAGGTCGGGCACACGCCGTTTACGGCTTAGTTCCAGCTCAGTGAATTCAGGGCAGACACCAAGGTCAGTGGAAGAAATAAAGCGGTGAGATAAAGATTATCGGTGGCAGTCAACTGTACAGTGTATACACTCTGGAAGAGCCTTGTTTGTACCTTTGGGTTACACAGAACCAGAGTATGTTTACAACCTGAGCTTTGAAAAATACCTCCATGGTTTCTTTCAGTTAGCTGCAACTATTTTCAGCAAAAGCCGACTGCAGGACTTTTCAAGCCATGTAAGTGTCAAACCTTTCTAGGAATGATGCAAGAAGAAGGAGCACAACAGAAGCAGGCATTTTGTAAAATCATTACATTTATTTCACTTATCTGTTCACTTTTCTGCATTTGTCCAAATAAAGGATCTTTTCATTCAGTCTTTGTTTACATTGCATTACCTTTCTTATTTGAATATGTATTTGTTGCTGAATTATTATAACGCGTCCTTCACTAAAATAACACACCAGTTACCCTGATCGTGGTAGCTGCTCTGCACTTTGACTCCAGCCTCCTGACCACACAGCTGCTCCAGCTCCCCCTGCTGGAACACGTGGTAATAGCGGTGAAAAACAGGCACGGGACTGCTCTCAGACTCCGACTTCAGAGCAGAACTGGAGGTCTGAGTAGTGTCGCCACTTGCACCGGGTTTAGAGTCTGGGCTGTGAGTGGCATCACTGGTGTCAGGACCTGATCCAGAACACATGTCGGAGAGAAAACCTGGACTGGGACCAGGGTTACAGTCTAATTTGGCTATGGAACTTGAACCGTAGGCTGAGCAGGTGTTACCTGAAGTCTTTTGGGATTTCTCTTTCCTTTTATCCTTCTTTCCACCATCTCTCGGTTCTTCCTCCGCTCGTTTTTTCCCTTCTTTCAGATGCCAGGGAACCAACAGGTCCTGTGTGTTGAATGCTGTTCGGTTGGTGTGCACACTGAGTTTGCCATCAGTCACATCGATGTTCTCTACAGGCCTGTAGTTGTCTTCTAAATGTCTGCTGGTATGGACACTCGATGTCCCGTGAGGTTCCTGGCTGCCTCCTGTTGTTTGTGTGTTTTCGGTAGCGCTGTGGTTCTCAGGATGCTCTTTGTTCTGGTCTTTGAGGTACTTGGACCTCTGCTTGTTGTACTCTTGCTCAAAAGCCCAAACGTAGATGAGCGCTCGACCCCCAGGCTTCAAAAGTCTCACCAGCTCCCTCACTGATGCCAGACGACGCTCCTACAACACACACACACACAAACTATTTATTTGACCATTTCTATTACATACTCCTAAGTGACCCCATGATCTCATAAACTAACTCAGGGACCAGTGTTTGATTGGCTACAGTGTCTCAAAGCATGTGATGGTTCGGCAAATCAGTCTAATAAAGGATTATAGAAAAAACGCTTGATTTGAGGCATAAAAACGCTAATGAAATAATTATTTCTTAAATGTCCCAGGAGCCAAAACTTGAAAATCTTCCTTTTGAAACTGTGGTAAAGTTCCTGAGGTCTCTAAAATATTCCAGTACTCCCGGCAGTCTAAAAAAAACTGTGACTGATGAACAATTTAGTGAAGTGCTTGTATATTCGTGTTGGGTCATCTTTCAGTTGCTATATTGTTTTCTTGTATCGAAAAGAGGATTTCAGTGTGTGTACCTGTGTGGAGAAGTGGTGTATGACAGCTATAGAGATGCAGGCGTCACAGGAGGCTGTTCGCAAAGGGACACTGAGAGCATCGGATACAAACGCCTGGAAGCCCCTCTCTGCACAGATGTGGACGAGAGCGCTGCTCCGGTCGCAACCAACCTGAAAAGAGACGAAACACACACATGGGCATGCATGCCTCATCCCAGTAACATTATGATATATGGTTGTTTGGCTCATCTCTATCAAACTGGTCAAAAGGCCTCTGCCACCTCGTCCTGAATCCTTAAACGGTTTCTGTGAAGTAGCAGCAGAGGACTTCTACCTCATTTGTTTGCCGCCTCCGCTGCAACCCATTTGCCGACTGTATGTGAAACAGATTCTGTTGTGTGGAACTCTACAGCGGGTCGCAATAAAAAACAGAATGGAAAAAGGCATTTCTCCACAGGGGGAGAATGATTGTACACTATGGTAATCCATGATGACACTCACTGCAGCCACCTCCGGGTTGACCCCCAGGTATTTCCCATTTCCACAGCCCACGTCAGCCAGCATGCTGCCAGCCGGGAGCGATGACAGGAAGTGGCAAACGCGGGGCCAAGGGGAGTGGCGAGTGCTGCTGAAGTGTGAGGCGATGGCGTCGTACACCCGGTGCACGTACTCCTCCTCCAGAAGGGCTGCATCGGCATGGCAACAGGGTAGTGAGGGGGGAGGAGACGGCGGTAAGGGTGCTGAGGGAGCTCCCTGGCTGTCACAGGCAGAGGGAAAGGCTGGAGGGGGGGAGAGGGGGAGGGAGAGAGCGAGAGAGACAGAGAGAGAGAAAGACAGAGACAGAGAGAGAGACAGAGACACGGAGATATAGGGCGAGACAGAGCAAGAGAGAGACAGAGCGAGAGAGAGGGCGAGACAGAGCGAGCGAGAGAGAGACAGAGCGAGAGACAGAGCGAGAAGAGGTCCATCAGACCGTATGTCATACTTTGCAGGTGGTGATTTTGAGGGCAGAATTTAGCCTCAAGAGGATTTTGCTCTAAAAATGGGTTGTCTGACATCTCTCGAACAATGATGGTGATTCTGTTACCAAACACACTATGTTGTTATATTTTGCGCCTGCAAGATTCTCACCGCAGCCGCAGGGTTCATGTCTGATCTTGCGGAAAGTGAAAGAAGTGCGGGTGTCCCTCTTGCTCAAAGTGAGATTGCTGTAAGTACTGAGATCAGGCGTCGTATGAGCAGGGGATTGTGGGTTGCAGGCCGGCACCATGTCGAACTTCCGAGGAGTTATCCTGAGAGAAGATAAGAGACAGTTGTAGTCGTGGTTTAAAGAAACCGATAGCAGCTAATCTGTTAAGGTGGTGGACTTTATGTGAATAACATAAGATGCGGATATGCATTTTGAGCTGGATGGAAATTGATACTACAAAGCATGTACGATACACACAACATGAACATGTCACATTCAAACCGAGATAAACCAATCCATGCGACACAGTCCAGCTCACCCATGTGTCCACAGGTATCTGCTCTCTCCCTTCATCACCAGGAGGCTCCGCTCTGGCAACACCACAGCAACAAGACGGCCATCGGGATGACGGAACTCCATCACCGTCTGCATTTAAAATAAAGAGCATTTAGACCACTCATTTGACAACTTAGGAAATCAATCACAGACACACACACACACAGCAACAGGACACAACTATTGATTTCTCTTTAGAACAGCAGAAAGAAACGGTGGAGAGGCAAAGAGCTGACAGTCGTCTGTGTCTCGCAGCAGAGCAATAAAAACTGAGTTGGTGGCCCGCCATGACTAAACGAATGTAACCGATAAGAGGAAACATTGTATTTTAGCAAACTTTTTCTTATAAAAACTAACAACTATTATTACTCCTCCAAAACTGTATCATTAATGAATAAAATATGGAAAAAACTTTTTTCCAAACATAAAAACCTTCTTTCCTTTTACTCAGCAGTTTTTAGCTAAGTCACCCACAGGAGAAACACACACACACACACACACACACACACACACACACACACACACAC